GTACAAGTACAAGTACGAGTACACTCTTCGTTGCGAGTTGCGACTTTAGTTGTACCGTTATTTTTCCTCTAATAACACACGTACGTACGGTACGGTATTCGTACGTACAGTACGATGATGATGATCATGACGATGATGAAGGATCGTTCACTCTGGTTCATGTTGGCAACGAATGGGACAAAGAGTACGTGCTGGTACTCGTACTCGTACGTACTCGAATTCGTACTCAGCATTCCAATCGGGCTTCCCTCTCTCCGTTATGCTTCAGCACCCGATACTATTTTGAATCGCGAAAAGATCGCAGTTACAAAAAGATCAAATAGGCCTTCTAAACACTTAAGGATTCCAAACGGACGAGAATGAAGGAACCAACAAAAAGAGGAAGGAGATGCGGTCTTTCGATCCTCACCGTCGCGACTGCCATTTCGATAGCAGCCTCAAACCAACCGGAGTTGGTGGCAAACGCCTTGGTTGCGCGATCTAGAACTCATGGCCAGTATTCGCATGCTTGCTTGCCGAAGACGTCCTGGCATTGCAAAGGAAAGGGCGGTGCCGGAGATCTGGCACTTCGAAAATACACAGGTAGCAACGTTGCATCCGGGACAAGGCAAAATTACAATAGGGCACAGAAACAGCCATTACCGTCGGCTTTGCATTCCCTATTGAACAACGATGGGGAMAACGACCCAAACAGAAAGCTCTCTCTGAAAGAAAGCGTGGCGTATGGACGGAATCTGCTTGCCTCCTTTTCCTCTCTCATGGCCTTATGGTTGCCGCTGTTCGCAGTTTGGGGAATCCCGGCCCTTGTATCCAATGCGCGATCCTTCCCACCGAATTCTCCCGATCAGTACGCCGCTGTGACACTTCTCATTGTTTCGAACAGAATCTATCTGTATGCCCTTGCGATGACCATCGTGGGGGTTGCTGCTGTTCGGGGAACCATTTCCGGAGATTCGAAAGCCCTGGGCCAACGCCTGACCGCCCTGACCGAGGAACTCTTGGTCTTAGATCGGCCTCTGTCACTGAAAGTAGGAACTACATCAACAGAAAAATTTGATGACGAAGACGAGATTCTGGACCAAGGAATTCTCACTCTGCCTCCTGCGACACCGGAACCAACCCCTCCTCCGTCCTTCGTTCGCAAGATGGTGGACGATTCGGGACTGGAGGAAAGTCTCGATGGGGTCGATTCGGGAACCCAGGCCTTGCTCGTCCCGCTGTTGGTCTCGGGACTGCTTGCCGCATCGGTGATCTCCCTGCCCTTTTGGTCGTCGCAGGACTTGTTGCTGTCCTCTAGTAACAATATGGACAGCGAACTATKGCAGCAACTACAAACTTACATCCGGAAGATGTTTCCCTTTTTCGGTCAGCTCTGGAACGCAGCCTTGCTGACACTGTTTACAAGAGCCGAGCTGCGTCGGCTAGGGTACGAGCTCTTTGGCATCGGTGGCATGAAAGAAATCAACGGAGACAGCGAAAACGGTGGCTTCGCGAGTGTCCCCAAGCTCCAGATTGGCGTGGAATGCCTGATGGCATTAGCCATCACGGGCTATGGAGCATATTACTTGCAGTACTGGCCGGCATGCAATTTCGTAAACATGTCCGTAGCAATCCTCGTGGCACGAGCCCTCCGGCTGGACTCCCTCTTGACTGTAGCGGGCGCACTCGCGTTGCTGACGCTCTACGACGGCGCATCGGTCTTTTTGATACCGGCGGCCCACGCAGCGAGTACTTTTGTGGCGGACGCTTCTGCGGCATCCGCCTCGGCCATGGGATCCGTGGCCGTCCAAAAACTCACGTCCGCTGGCTTCCAGCCGGGGCTCCTGGTCACCAAACTCGACGGGGACAAGCTAACGGGAACGCTTGGGCTGGGGGATGCGGTCTTTCCCTCTATTCTTGCTTCCTTCTTGAAGAGATTCGACGACGATCAAAACGAAAGGAAGGAGGCAGAGGCATCTGCCTCGGTCGGCCCCGACAGCAGCGCGGAACAGCCATCCCGATCCCGTCTGTTCGAGGCCTCCCTCGTAGGCTATGCGGCTGGTTGTCTGGCCTGCGAATTCGCACCCACAATTTCCACCGGTGGAGTCCCCGCCCTGGTGTTTTTGCTCCCATCAATGGGCCTGGCTACATTCCTCGCAGCTTCGACCTCCGGCAGCTTGGGCGAGCTATCCATCTACAAGGGTGAGAATGGTCGCAGCAACAGTCGCATCCTGTTGGAAGAGCCAGGGAACGAGTGAGTTGGTTCTGGGTGTTTCAATCAGTGCTTTTGCACWTTAACAATGTTGTAACATCCAATTGACAATCCAGATTCAGCAGTGTGGAAATAAAGCGGCAATATGCATCACGTCAGCAAAGTGGATTCTGGATCGGCTGGAAGAATACAAATAATGATATTTTTACGACTCGAATCTTGGTTTCTCTGAAAAAYTGGAGTACGATCTATAGATCTATGAACGAYCTACTTGAAGAAGGGCATTAGGCCTGTGCAAATCACGGGCTGTAGGACGAAGCCGAGGCGTTGGTTAGGACCACATGAAATAGCGCCATCGCAGTTTCTACTATGKAGCACTATAGTAAACAGACCAGTATCAGTGAMCAAACACAAATGGAGKAAGTAGACTGMTGWTGCCTTGAAATTGGAAGGATTCARCCACCAGAACAACCAGCACTATAATATCTACWAKTTTATCTAACAGCAGTAATGGCGGCACTACAAGTGAATCAAGGACATTCATTTTTGGTTTTTTGAATAACCATTTCCTAATTGACTTGATGAGGATCGTTCTTCTCTCGGCAGAATGAACCTAGCAGATCCCCATTTCCTAGATGTCATCAAGAATATTGTTTGTTTTTCTTTYAATAACAATGTCCTGCTCAATGTTGATCACCAWCTGTCGAACTGAGAAGAAAAAAGTGCTACTAAAAACGCACAGTCGGACTCCAAACTTTTGACTAGATGTGGATGGAAATGCACACGTGGACTCTACCYCGGGCTTATGAGTGCTGGAAAGTYTGTGGATATGGGAACACGGGCAAGATCGCAATATAACGCCTCTCTAACGTTTTATTGACAGGTACTGTAAATTGTACTTTCACAAGTACATCTGTAATCTGTAGTACGTACCTACCGGCCGGTACTAGTACATATTATCATAAGTTGGATTTAAGTAGAAGTACGTACCGGTACCACGCTCGTGGCACCCAGAGTCTGATCCGTTTGACGTGATTTTAGAGCAATATTTCCGATTCCCGTTGGGCGTCTGGCTTGAACGGATCATATCACTGGTGGCGGGATTCTTATAAATATTTCTACGGCGTGCATGGAGGAGTCGTGTTTTGAAACACAAAACAAAGCAATAAGTAAGAATACACATACAGTAATTATTGGTACCATTTCCATCAACACACGCTTTCTTCTTACCTGCCGTATTGGGCAGGCGTAGCTTCTTTTCGAGAGTTTTCTGCATCTCGAGAACACTTATTGAGAGCTACAAGAATGCAGAATATCATCCCTTCTTCCTGGCTAATAGAAGTAGATAAGTAGATTCCACAACACGAGTATCCGTACACCGAGAGTGGTTCCACATACTACTGCCAACGGCTATCAAGCATCAGCCGAACCGAAGCACATCTCGATCACTMGCTGCGGGCGGGTCGCAAAACCAAACTGCGGGAGTAGAAAATATTTTAAAAAATAGAACAGTGCAGAATCGAAGAGCACAAAATGTCGGGTAGAACTCCACTRMTGGAGAAGCCAAGCGACGACACCACCATCGAGATGATAGCAACCAGCACGACAGAGCTCTCCGACTCAGAAGGGTCGASCGATGGGARCGGGACCGTCCATGGAAACGACGCTGCTGCCAGCTGTCACACRACGTCCGTGCACACGCTTGCATCCCTGCATCCCTCCTCCCCGGCAATGACCACCAAACCCCCCCTCGCCCCGCAGGCGCTATCGCCAGTGGCTCTGCGCGTCGTCTKGCGCTCCCTAGAATTTATCTTGCTGAACGGCCCCCTCCTGGTGTGCTGGGCTCTCGTGCTGACCTCCTTGCTGGTCAGAGAGGTCTGGAACGGCCCCCTCGACTCACTACTGGACAGCTACAGGCTCGAGTACGACAGTTCCGACGGCGCTCTGGGGACCTACGACGCCCGGGACCACGAGCTCACCTATTATTATCGGCGCTGTGACCACCGGGAYATTAGCACGCACGACGCCAACGACCTGCTGATCGATCCGGGAATGACGCAAGACGAGCGCAAGGCCGTCRTCATGACGCACGGCGCCGTCGTGATGAAGGAGATCCTGGGAGAAGATACGGCCGTGGAGCTCCGGAGCTATCTCGAGGGAAGGCACCACGAATTCCACTCGAACAASCTGAAGCTCCCCTGGGACGAACTCTTTTGGGACGGGGACAACGGGAACCGTCTCAGCCTGGGCCTCGGCCCGGAGGACGCCCCCATCGTGGCCAGGGCTATATCCGAGGTGGGTTCCAATGCTCAGCTGAAGCGGACCCTCGAGGCAACCCTGGGCCCGGACCCAGCCGTCGTAGAGGTCTCCACCCTCTCGACCATGCACAACGCCGAGCCCCAGGGAATCCATACCGACAGCGACTGGTTCGGATCCAGCGTGCTGTACGCGAGGACCTTTCTGCACTCGTACACTATGTTCATTGCCCTGCAAGACACCACCAGCAAGATGGGGGCCACCACCGTCTGCCCCGGGACCCACTGGTGTGCCGACGCGGACYTGGAGGAACTCTGCCAGTGCAACTACACGGACGATGACGAGGACAAGGAACACCACCTGGGCTACTGCAACACMTTTGAGGCCTCGAGCAACGGRCAGACGGGTCTCGATGTGGGCGTTCTGGAGCGGGGCGACGCCATGATGTTCAACCAAAACATTTGGCACCGCGGGCCACGCAATTTTGACCTGGAACGGAAGGAGAACCGGGTCATGTTCATCCTCACCTTTGTCTCGCGACGGGATTTCCAGAGGGGCGACAACCGGCAGCAGGGGTGGGGGACCTACTACTATATGAGGCACTCCATGTGGGGGCACCTGTTTTCAGACCTGAAGAACGCGGCCAGCGGGGGCATGGACCTGCTCCGGTCCAGGATCTGGAGGGCCTAYGGTCTGGTGGCGGCAAGCAGGCCCGGAAACCTCCCGTGGCTCGAACACTGGGCCCGGCAGCTGGGCAACAACATGGATTTCTTTCGCGGGTCCGAGCTCGAGGACTTCAAGGTGATGYTGCGGGAAAGCACCAACCCCCTGGTGCGGTGGCTGGTGTTGGACGACGCCGCTCTCCAGTACTTGTTTGGAACCAGCAAAGGCGACAGCGACGGCGACGGCGACGGCGATGTGGGGTGGAACGAGTACCTGGGATTTTTGGTGGAGAGCTCCGTCTACCAAACAAAGCAAATGTATTTCATACTGGCGGTTCTGACTGCGTTGGCGCACTGCATCGGGTATGCAGTGCGCATGGCATTGGGGCATGGTTTTGGACGAGGCAAAAGCCAACCATTCGAAACACGGAAACCCGCCCGCCGGGTCCAACCCGTCCGAGGCATTTCGAGGTGCTGCGCCGAACTTTTGGCGAGCCATCTCTTGGTGCTAGGGATYGCGCTTGTCGTCCGACAGTACGTCTTGTACCAGGCACCCTTGTTCGAGCGCATCCATAAGGGCGAAGTCTTCTACAAGCCTATTCCCCCCCTGCCGGTTCGACGCGTTGTCGAATACGAGCACGACGAGGAAACCGGAGAAGTGGTTTCGGAATCCACGCACTACGAAGACGTCTATGCCCTCGATCTCCTGGAGGTCAAGCAAGAACGGGAGCAACRCGACTTTCGAATGGCCCACCCGAAACATCCCTACGCGGAGTACTACGATCTAGAACGCGACCTGTTGGAAGGGCACGGAAGAAGCCCCGAAGAAGAGGTGTTGCTGCGACCTCCGATCCAGGCCACGGCCTTTCCGGAACGAATGGACGTCTTGATTGGATCGCGGTACGATGCTCGTTTTTTGGCGTCGATGAATTCCGTTCTCGACTTTCATCCCGGAAACAAGGATTGGATCGRATCGATGAACGAGTACATGGCAGTTCTTGCGGGCCAAGACCCCAGCAAGCTGKCGGAAGCATTCCTAGACATGGCCGTCGATGCCATTCTGTCCAAAATCTTGGATTTTGGAGCCCACCCTTCTTCTTCCTTGTCGGCCGGTGCCAGTATTCCGCGCCGATTTCTCAGGCAGGATTTCGAAACGGGCTGGTGGGTTGTGATGCGACGGGACGAGGTTGCCTTGGAAACCAGGCGCGTGCTCCTGTCCATGGCATTTCCGGGATCTCTGGGGGTCTCCTATTACTACTGGAAGGAAGTTCTCGCTGAGGCACGCTTTGGAAGGCTCCGCCGGAGCGCAATGGGCCGAACATGGATTCCGCAAACMGTGGAACAACGAACGAAGGACTTGTTYCGCGATTCGGAAGACTCTGGAGACGCTRCTACAATGGTTACCCCCATGCACACAATGGYGATCCCAATGAATCCTCRCACTATCGGGAGGAGGCTGCTTCTTCCGAGCACGGGGAGAAATATCTTGCCAAAGTCGATGATTACGGGAAAGACAGCTGTGTCGCTGAGCATGCATTGTTTGAAATCAAGTGTAGTGCCTCCTACCGTGTTGGCATTTCGGGAGCACTTGAAACAACTGACAGAGGACGTTGTGACGTTAAAGATTGGTGATCATGTYCAATACAGTGGAGGAGACGTAATCTACCAGGCTACGATCGTAGACATCGATTCCGAGGAAGAAACACTAGAGATACAGCCATTGCGCAACGATTCGGATGGAGATGAGGACGAAAATGAGGATAAGGACGAGGATGAAGATGAAGATGAGGACAAGGATGAGCAATCGAAACCAAAACCTATAACGAGATTTGTCCATGTCGATAATGTTCAATTGTATCGCCCGCTGAGCGAAGGCGATCTGGTTTGGGCACTTACGGAAGATCCCAATACTGGAGATGAAGATGAAGACAAAAATGAAGMTAAAGATGARAAAAGTTGGAAAATCTATGAGGTGCTCTTTATCTCGCCTTTTGGTCAAGCCGACCTTATCCTMACACCAGAATTTTTGACCAATGGTGACGACGATGAGGACAGTCCTGACAACAACCCTATTATGATGGATACTCGCGATCTAGATTTGAAAGAAACCCAAAAGACACGACTGCGACAGTATCATTGATGAACGAAGGGGGAAAGACTATGTTTGTTTAAGAGATACTAGTCACAATCTGTAGCACTCACGGAATGAAGAACCCTGAAACCCCTAACTTCTCTGTTCAGCGGCAAGAAAAACATTCGATTCGTGTGACAGGACATTTGTAGTACTACACAAGTAAAACTAAGATTAGACTCAATATTCATAGACGAGACGCTATACCTCATGTTTAACATAGGTGTAAGCAAAATTATGGCTGACGGCGAGCACGACTATCCATCTTCATTATGTTTCTGCGATCATTCGTCATTAGTTACCATTGTCACTTGTTTTGCTCACGTTCCATCGCCGAATCGCAATGACAACCGACAAGATTCCCGCAACTTTTAGTTCAAWAAACAACACCCAGGAAAGAACTACTGGTTGATAGCTCCCGAAAAGATAGTTGCTGCGGTAATCATCTTCTTGCTGCTGCTGCTGCTGCTCCTCCTCCTCCTCCCCCTCCACCTGGTGGAGCTTGTGATTGTGAGAATCCTTACTCATGGTCATAAATTCTTCCACCGATACCGTGTGATTGTTGAATGTGGATGAAAGAGAGCTCATTGCACGATTCCAKAGTTCATCGTTATCATTATCATTATTCTTCAATAAAAATGATTCCATAAATTGGATCCAGTAGAGAGAAGTCAGTTTTTCGTACCGAAAGTTTCCCTCCCGCAAGGCTAATTCGTCGTATTGATCCTCTAAAAATTGTGGCGTAAGGTAGTTTCCTTTTTTTTTACCCTGCTTGGGCGCCTCATCTCCGAATTCCCCATCTATCCATACCACAGGTAGATCGTCGAATGATTTTTGCCATCCGTCGTAATATTCGATGGTTTCGAGCGTGGCATTCTGTTTTTGAAGCTTTTCTTGTAATCCTTTTTGGCTTGCCTCTTCCAATGATATGAGTTTGGGCCGGTTGCCACTAGATGCAGGAAAAGTAATTATTTTGTAAGTGTATTTGTGGCGCTCCATCACTGGAATTGCGCCCATAGCGATCGACTCCCAAGCGCGGTATGTATCATATCCAATCCCGGATGGACATAAGATAAACTTGCTGTTTGACATATCGTCGTAATATTGGTCTCGTTGCTGTTCCCAAGTGCCCTCATATTGCTCGTACATATTTTTGATTCCTTTTCCTTGTGGGTGTCCTGAGTTTTCAAAGTTACGAATGACCGCATCTATTTGTGGTTTCCGGGTAGGTGAGGGAGAGGCATTGATCATAAGAAACTGCGGTCGCGAATTATTGAGCCTTGATTTTAACTTCCTGTAGCTTGATCGTATGGAAGTACTATTGTCAGCAAACGATTTATGCTGCTCAATTTTCCCTCCTCTCTCCCTGATATCCTTGTTTCTCAAATTACGTCTAGAGTTATTCGACAATGACTTGTTTGCAGAGTTTTTCTTTTGGTTTTGGCGTTTTTGTTTTGAGAGCCGTCGAAGCATTGCCTCGCCACCATCAGGTGCATTGGCAACTCCAATCGGTATCGAATGCACCTTTGGGTGATTGAATAAGGCCTGATGTTGGGTGGTAAATACTGCCAGAGTCTGAGGTGAATTCAAATAAAACTCTTGGACCTCCAATGGGTCGCAAGGACTACCATCCAGTTTCCCCCAGTGTTCGAGGATATCACCCCAGTCATGCGTTCGGCTGGGGACATACGAAGAAAGAGTCCCCCAGTTTTCGTTCAGGTGTGTCAGGAGTACGTGCGGTGTGTTAAATTGAGCGATGTCCCGTGCGTGTCGAAAGGCATGGCAAATGTTGTGTTCGTGAATSAATCTAGGTTTCTTTGAACCACTCGTCCAGGCTGCCGAGAGGACCCTGGGATCATTCCTATGCTTTTTGGCATCTTCTTCTTCCATTCCCAATCCCCACAGACTATGAAATTCGTAGAGGCCCTGATCGTGTCTCTTGTGGCCATGTTCGAGAAGATAATCGAAATCATTTCCCCATTGCAATACGGTCTCCGAATTTACAATTCTGTCATCATTGTCATCATCGTCATAATCATAATCGTCATCATCATTGTCATGAGGTGATGGCAACAACAGAAGCGAATATATTGATTCCCGATTATGTCGACGAAATTCTTTCTCAATCTGTAAGCGTTCCTCTAATGTCAACCAGGAATCGTTAACYGGACGAGAGATGGAGAACTGTTTTTCTTTAAGCTGTTGAAATTGATGTGGAAATATTTTTGAGTCGAGACTTGTTGCTGGAAGCGATTTGGAATACGAAACCGCTCGTGAATAGTAGTAGTCGAGATTTGACGTGTTCAATGCGGACCGATAGGTCCTGGCAGTATTCCTGCCGTAATAATAAGTGTGACAAACCAACGCTGCCCCACACAGTGCAGCTATCGTTCGTATCGAGATCACAGCATGCGATGCCGTCTTCTTATGGCGTGATACCGACATGTTGCCGCCACTGGCCTCGCCCCTGCTTTTCTCGGGAAGGTGAGATCGCAGGGAACGTTCCACGTTTTCCTTCATGTTCGTGCTCCTCATGTTGCCTTCCTCTTGCGTCCGTATTGAATGCAGCTGTGGTCAAAGTTGTAAATCCTTTTGGTTGATATCACTTTTCTTCGTCGCAGACATTTCAACAAAACATACGTCTAACAATCATCGAGCACGCCGGAGCTGGGAGTAATAGGTGAGGTCACGTCAGATTACTACGAGTACAGTACCGTACGTACGAGTGCCGTACTTCCCGAAGCTTCTGCAAGATCAAAAAGGATGAAGGTGCGCCATCTCTTGTCACTTAACGCACAAAATCTCGAAATTCAAATTTTTCGCTACGACGGAATTTTCAATTTTCGATGTTCATCAATTATGAGATACAGTATGTAGGTACCTTCTGTAGAGCATATACATAGGTAAATGTGCTCTGGAATCTTATCGAATCCAGAGGTCATCAATAGAGATTTTATTCTGATGCTGCACGAGAGAAAAAATCTGTCTCGCGCACAATACAGTATTTATGACCCTTGAGCGAATCGCCCTTTCATACAACATTCATTGATGAATACTACTATTTCTCTTTCTGGACAGTACTAAATGCGACGARCTTACAGGTTCAATCGCTAACGATGCTTTGACTACACATACTCTAAAGGGCATATCATCACTAGCATTCGTTCGTGTTCAACTGCAAATACGAGTAAGTAAGTAAGTAAGTAAGAGTACTCGTCATTTGATGCTAGTACTTGTACTCCCAGTTAAGATAAATAGATTCCCTTCGAAAGAACTGACAATCGTACTCTACTAGTACAGTACTACGAAATAATTTTTTTTTATGTGCTGCTTTGTAGTCTGAATCTGAAAAAGAAAACCGTGTCWGCTAAAAAAAATACGGAACTCTCCTCGCAAAAGAATAGAAGTACCGAGGGAGTTGCCAAAAGATTTCGAGTTGTATCACGGTACTCTAATCAATTCTGTAGAACACACTCGACCCTTYCACAACGCTGTACGGAGCACCTTGCTGCAGTGTWCATCATAGATMTTTAAAGAGAAAATACGTTCAGGATTTCCGCTGTATATTCCASYTCCAGTCGTTCTCAGACTGGGAATATATTCTTCACCATGTTTGCCTTCTTCGGAGGATGCGTGGCTGGCGCCTTCGCGATGAAGTACTCTGACACGATGAATTGCTTTGCAGATGACGGGTCAGACTGCGACGATGACGACGGACGGGGCATTGCTTTGCTGACTCCCGGAGAACGCAAGACTACCAGTTCAAGAGCGACCATGCTAAAACAGAGTTCACAAAAGACGGATGCCGCCGCGTACAACGAGTTTGTGGACAATACCAGTGCTAGCCATATCAACTTCCTAAGCGACATCGTGGCTCGCTTGTGGGCCCATATCAATCGAGCGGGGGCGGAAATGATTCGTGAGATGATCGAACCGACMTTCCAGGAAACTCTCCCTGGTCCTCTTTCGACTCTCAAGTTCACAAAACTTGACTTGGGAAACGTCCCSTTCGTTTTAGACAATATCCTAGTGCAAGAACTCAAGCATATTGACCAGGGAATGGCTCACGGGAGACATCGCGAGTACCTGCAATTCGAATGGGACGTCACTTGGAATTCCAAATGTGACATTCAGTTAGCAACTGACAAAATTGGAGGCATGGCCGCTATTTCCTTTGGCGTCAAGARAATTACCCTCTCCGGTCGGCTCCAGGTGATTGCAAAACCTCTCAGCGACGTCCTCCCGTGCATGGATGCCATTCAATTCGCTTTTGTCAACCCTCCAACAGTTGAATTAGATTTTACGGGGTTGGCGAACTTGGCGGACATGAAATTCAAAATTGGTGGGTTCAGTGTCGTAGATATCAAGGGAGTTGTGCGAGGAATTGTGGATGACATTCTTGCCCAATCTCTTGTCTTGCCGAATAGAACTGTTGCCCCGCTCGTGGATAATGTTGACTACCGTGATATATATTGCCCTGCTTACAAAGGTTTGGCACGCGTCCAGTTGCATTCGGGCAGAGGATTTGAGATCCAAAAAGCATCTACAGTCTTTGGAAAAGACGACATTCCCGACGTCTACGTGAAGATTCGATTGGGAGCCGAAAACTTCTTCCAGTCAACTGTAGTACAGAACAATTGCTCGCCGAAATGGGACCCCGATGTGGAGTTCAACGATTTCCTATACTGTGGTCGTGATCAGATCCTTGAAATTCAGGCATGGGATAAAGACAGTGGAACCCTAGAAACTGACGATCAACTTGGAGTTGCCTACGTGACAGTCGGGCAAGTCTTGCTGGGTTCGGATCGGAATGGAAATTTCGAAGTTCGATTGATGAAACATGCTACGRACAGGGGTAAGAACGATACACCTACCGAACAGTATCTCACTATTTCGTTGGAACAATTGTCGTTTACGACGAATGATTTATCGACAATCCTTGTCGAGGARCAGAAATCTATGGTATCCCGAAGTGCGAAAAAGAAAATGAAGTCTAAGAACTCGGAAAGGGTCGTGGGTTTGACAACAGTACTGATTTCACATGCCATAAATCTTCCATTTGCGAAGAATGAAGATGCACATACTTTTGTCAAGCTCTTTTATGGAACCGGTTCCAACCGAAGAGAAATTGGCGCCACACCGATCATACCCGCTTCTTTGAACCCCGAGTATCAAACGCCCTTTCATTTCCCACTGAGGGCATCTCAGTTACTTGAAATGAACGACGACAATGATCTCAGGAATTTCACTATGGAGATGTTTAACCAAGATCCATCTAGTGGAAAAGAAACATCATTGGGCGATCTTAAAATTACTTACGATGAAGTCAAGAATGAAGACCACGAAGAATGGTCGCTTCGTGAATGTCGACAGATTGGAAAGCAAAAACGTACGAAGTTGGCATTCTCTATATCATTTGCKGGCGTAAAGCGGTCGTTAACGAGACAGAGACTTTCATATGGGAGTGAAACTAGCAAATCTCGCTCCTTGGCTACCGATATGGATGAACAAAGCGTAATTTCAGGAGCAACAAACAACATGATTAGAGTACGAATCGTGAAGGGATATGGCTTCGAATCTGATCAGAAAGCAAAATTTCGAAAGGCGGACATTCCCGATATATACTGCATGATTAAATTTGGAGCAAGTCCAGCCGTATGGAGAACTGCTACTATTAAGGACTCCGAAAATCCGACATGGGAAAACGAAACAGAGGATTACGTGATGGAAAGTGCAAATCAAGTCCTCTCAATTGATGTTTGGTGAGTTTTCAATATAAATTACACAAGTACGGCYAATACTACATTTTTGCGAAATGACCACTCACTCATGCCTTCTCTATTCCATTCCTTGCTAATTGCAACAAAGGGACGAAAACCGAAAATCCGATGATGACTACTACGGTAACGCCCGTATATCCATAGGTAAAGTTTTTTTGAATGGCGGRAGTCTCGATGTGGAAGTGAAGCAAAACGAAATCGGCAAAAAGAAAGCYAAACTGAAGAAAATGCTAGGCAGAAGCGGTGGTTTACGCACCAACAAGACGAAAATGTTTATTACTGTAGAATGCTCGAAGCTGTAGGTCAAAAACACAACGAGAAGTGGAGACAGTGCACGGTCCGTGTATCTCCCCATATTTTTACGTGGTTTATTATATCAGAAACCGAATAGCTACAATCGCTATCACAAATTTGTKKGCAGTATGATCCGTGCGATCKATCAATGTTAATATTTGTATCGGAAGGGAAACAGAAAAATATGATCCCCTAGAAGTAATAAACATTCAGCATTATCTCAAGTCAAAAGAAGAAAGCAAAATTTATTTAATAATTCAAACTTTGTTGAACAGAGAAAAGAAATTTTCAATTACTTGGATCCATCCTAGAAATCTTTCAATTTTTATGCATTWCCTGTTTTTCGGTTTGCATGAGTCGTGTTCGCCGCGTCAATTCCCAAATTGTTATCGCCCCTGAAACATGAACATTRAGAGAACGGATCATGCCAAACTGTGGGATTTCCACGCATGTATCTACTGCTTGTAAATATTGAACCGGTATTCCTTCCTTCTCTTTTCCTAATAGTAGGACAGTTTTGTTATTAGCAGCAACAAAATTTGGAATATCAATTTGATGCAAAGGAATAGATGACGAGGTTTGTTCTAAGCCCACAATCCAAAAGCCCTCGGTTTTTTTCTCTAGCAGCCATAAAAGTAATCCCTGTTCGTAATTAATTTTGAGATAAAGARCAGATGTGTTAGTCAACCAATGTGGAAAAAATTGTTTGCAAGCTCGATTCATCAAGAGGAACCTTCATAAAATAGGGTCAATATCATCAGAATGTGCTCAGAACAGATCTTGGTTTATTGACTATGAATCATTTGGTTCATTTGGTTCATTTGGTTCATTTGGTTTCATTTGGATCGAGAAAGTGACATAGGATTCATCGTAGCTTGCTGACATACCTCTTCTTTCACTTCTTCCATATCTATCCARTCGACTGCACCAACACTTATCGATTGAAAATTATCCATTTTAGCGACAGACATGTCAGGGACCACCAATGATTGCGCTGCAAAAATTTCACAGGTTCGTGCCAAACCGGCTAAATTTGGAACCTTATCCACCAAAGAAGCACAAACAATTAGATTTTGTTTGTGGGCACCTGTAGCAGTTGATAGACGTTTTTCCTTCAAATCCTCTAGCGTTAAATTCAACGAATCGAGTGGGATGATCTTGCGTTGGACAGCCGAGCCTATGTTCTCCGAACCTTCGCTGTCGCTATTCGCATCATTGTCCGCCATCAATTCTTCCATCTGTTTCCATGAAGGCGCATCAGATTCGTGCGCCTCATCGTATGTATTCCGCAGAGATTSCTTTATTGCGTCAATCATATGAACCGGATCTGCTTCTTGTGATTCGTCAACACGAATGCTAAAGACACCTTCTGGCGTACAGAGTGACTCACAATCATACTGGTCGAAAAATTTGGTTTGCTTGTTTCGTAGCCTTTTCATTTCACGGTTCTGATCAAGAAAGTTGTATGTTGATTTGAGGAACCAATCGTTATCATTCGTCATCGATTCTATCGAGGTAACCCTTGGTATTAAATTGTAGACTACTAGCTGAGCGATTGCGCGACTGAAGCCTTGTGTACTACTTAACCATGGAATAACACCAGCTAGTATCCGTTTCGCACGACTTTTATCTTTATCGCTTTGAGTGAAGTAATCCAACTGATACTTTCCCAAGATAAAGTTCCCCCCCATAATCATGAGAGACGATACATGTTGAAGAGACAGATCRGTCCGAGAAATGTCTTGAAGAAAAGCTTCTCCAAAAATTGTGGAATGCATCATAGAGCATCTAATCGTGAAATTCTCCAAGAAGTATCGAATTTGGTTATGAAGGAGTTCATTCATAGCTTGAAAAACGGTTTTACAAACGGAGGGAGCAATTTCATTCGTAACGAATCTACTCAAGATGCACAAGGCCTGCCATCCACGTATCTTTATGCAATAAGTTGGAGTGCCCTTCATTACAAGCGAAGGATGAGTTCCTTTCTCTGGGGTCGCTTGTTTCAAAAGTTCAAGAATTACGTAATGCAGAAGCTCTTTCTTGACAACATCATGAAGTCCAGCTTCGGGATCTGGTAATTGGCAGAAAAATACCAGAAGAAATGCCCGTGTCACGCTCAATTCGTTCGTATTTGCAGGTATCTCCATAACGCCTGATGTTGGTAGTTCTTCTGCACTTTGGTTCGTTGAGGATTCATCTTTTTTCGCTTCCTTGTGGAGTAGAAGTTGAACTATATCGTCTCGGTAGGGAATGGAGCTGATCCCCATGCTATCCTTATTTCCATTACCCAGCCATCCGACAGTAATGCGACATAAAACAGCACGGGTTATTTGAGGCCGCCGACGTCCAGCCATCTTAATGAGTTGACGAAAGGCATCACGGATAGGTGTCATGCATTTCAAGGGAWCACTTTGAATCCGCTCGTATTCTTCTCGAAGCAATTTGGAGTGGAAGATCAAAGCGCAAAACTCATTCAACATGTATGCGGATTCTCGCGACCGGGTTGATTGATTGATTAGTGACAAAAGCGTTTTTGTAATATCAGTGAGATTYTGAATGTACATGTTTTCCACCTGATGAGGGTCGTACTTGCTCGAGGCACAGATCCATTGTCGCGATGATATAATGAGGCAATCAAAGAGGGGTTTAATGGCATCAGAAGGCGTTATCGATGAAGCAGCCATACCCTCTTTTATCAGGTCGTCAACTAAATTGTCAATTTCTCCTTGAGTTTGGTTGCAAACATTTTCCGATGYCATTTCCAGTATTTTGGGAAGAATGCACGATATAGCAGCCCATCGACCATATTGAATTATTGAACGTGAGGATTTTACCCATGCTTTTGGTTGTCCTTCACCTGACGTGGTGAGTCCGGTACGCATAAGAAGGCGACAAAGTGAAACATAAGATTTCTTTCCAGGTTCAGCACCACACGAGCATGCGCCATAAATCAACCCCACTAGAAGAAGTTTCTTGACATCACCTTCGCCGCTTGACGAGTCATTGCCTTCCATTAACACAGATAAATTTYCAGTGCAGTTGTGAAGGACATCATTCATTACCCCCGAAATAGCTTGGCTCGATGGATATGACTGGTGAAGGATTTTCAGCTGAGATATCAAAGAGGCATAGGAGCCTGTGAACCTTTTATTTTTCGKGTCTTCCGTTTCTACTCTATGGCTGTCTGTCCCAAGAAGCATTCGGATGTGCCACTGGATAAAATCGATACTATTCTGTAGCATTTGCTCTATGTTTGGTGGAGGCGGCATGATTTGTTGTGTCTTTGGACTTACGACCAAGTCGCCATTTCCCAACCCCGACAATTGGCGCAACCGACAACCATTCTCTAACAAAAGCAAAGCACGGGCCACATTCTCGGTTTTGGAGTTGTGATCCTTGGATAGTATCACAACACTACTCTGGGACAAACCCTTATGTATCGCTGGCCACAACAATTCACCTGAGGTGTAACGCTCTCTCCTTGAAACTGCCAACGTACAGAAAAGAGAAACCGCCCAACCCATTTCCACATCGCTTTTCGAGGACCCTTCGACTGGATTCCACCTAGGTGGTGATGCTAGGCCATCTGTATTCGTTGGAAGAGAAACTTGACCCGTGACAAATGCGGTAGCTAATGCAGCTCCAACCGTTACAATGAATGGCATTTGTTGCTGACCCTGATTTTTGGCRGAAGCCTGTGAATTAAGTTGTTCGATAAAGATTCCAATCCTCATCAGCATTTCTTCCTTTTCAATAGACCAATCAACAACATCTTCGGAATCTAATGAGGGAAAATAACTGGACGAAAACAATCCCAGCAGTGAAAGAACTTTAAGCGGTGTCCAGTTGCGTTTCTCACTATTAGTATAGAGTTTTGCCTTGGATAACATGAGAGATARCATGTGCAGAAGTTGTTTTCGGTGTGTTAATACCATCAATCCGTGCCGGAACAACTTTACATATGTAAACCGTATCGCCTCTAGGTCACTATCGTCCATGGGAACCATCTGAATTGTAGAAGAGGCACCACCATTGGTCGTTGCTAACTTTCCTTCGTTTCTTGCTTCTGCTTCAAGCAAATCCGAAACAGATCTAAATACTGAGAGATGTGTCTTGGCTGATAAATGGCAACCAACACGATTCCAATTCCATATTCCTTTCCAAAACAAAGATGGCGACCAGGATAATAACGAAGAATATGTTTCCAACGAGGCTGCATCCGCAAGAATAGCATAATTTCTGATTGTTTGGCAAAATAAGGGGATCATGTCAATCTTTGAAAATTTCTCCATTGGAATTCCGCTGTTGTTGTTACGCTTGCGGTGTTTGCTTTCTACAATATGGATCGTGTACCCGACGGACGATCCGCCAAGGCTATCCCATGACGGAACCAAAATGTCCCATAAAAACGTTTCTGGCGACAGAAATCGCAGTAGCATCTCGGTCGATAAGACATCGAGGGATGTGCTCTCGGTCGAAGTCTTTTTCTTCTTCTTTGGCTGCCGATGTTGCTTGTGTGACTTGGATTCTCTTCTTTTTTTGTTTGACGGATTGTTGTTGTTTTCATTGTGCGTGTCGTGACTGACKTCCATTTCGACGTCTACCTCTGATCCGGAAGTCTTGATTTCATCTTCTACATTTTTTTGCAAAGAATCAGCTGTCACGGGCCGTCCCATCGCCTGGAGAATCCTTAAGATTCCCAGTTTTCGMACCGCCATTTGCTCTGAGGAAAGTACCCGTCCTAGAAGTAGCTCAATCCAAGGACGAGTGACCAGTGGGATTCCTCCGTCTATGTTACGGGTATCGTGAATGCAGTTCTTGTTCTTCCAAGCCTCACGGATAAGTTTTGCGATCACCGGCCAGATCTGGTCCACTATGTGCCGTTCGCCTTCCATCTCAAATGTTTCGGCACACAAAATAAAGTCTTTCCAGTATAAACAATCTTCTTTCTCCTTAGAGGTTGAATGAGTAGTAGTAATTACATCGAGTAAATGCAAGGCCCGCCGGCGCAGCAGAGAGGCAACTCCACCGGTTCCGAAAACGCCATCACCGCCACGCCTTCCTCTACCAGTGTCGTATTCCCGAGGATGGACAAGGGATCGACGACCAAGTTCAAAGCAAGAATAAATCACATTCCAGAGTAGTTCGTTTTCTTGTTGTTGATTCAACTGTTGCCGAGTATGCTTCCAATACCATGGCAAGAGTGGGCATAATGTTGTGGTGGCCACCAACAGCAAGTCCTGCTTGTGAACCTTTTCTTCATTGTCGTTTTCGCGAATATGAAACACTCCCTCCTTTTGTAGCATGTGGAATAGCKTGGTCTGTAGGAGCCCAGCGAGTTCAAAGGAATGGGCGTTGACTTCTTCAGTAGTCATGGAAGTCTTCGTCTGAAATTCATTCAGCAAAGGCAGGAGTAAGTTCTGAGAAATKTCCGAGAGTAGGKCAACCGAAAAATTTCGGCAACAAAATTGGAGATTGCACCAAAGATGCTCGTAATATAGCGAAATGAAAAAAGAGAGATTGCCACCAGATAATTGTTCTCCATGTTGATGTTCGCGTGCTAAATAGTACAAGACCAACTTGCTCGCAATTTTTGAGGACAAGGGCATTACAACACTAGGGTCCGTTCCTTCGCATTCTTGCTTACTTGGTTCGTGGATAGCAATGATTTTTTTCGTTTCTGTGAGGAGCTGCTCTCTAAGKTTTGGCCAAACGATTGTGTCGTTTCTGTCCTCACTCTTTTTTTCGAGGAAGATCCACTCCAATGAAAGCTTGATGAGGACCTCCGTCAATTCGTCCGAGATCGCCGAAGAGGGATTTATCTCCATCCTCCCCTTTTCTTGGGTAGGCAAAATATAATGGAATATGAGAGACGAAAACCATTCCATTGAAGATATAGAGGGAGAGGATGGCGAATCAACTCGTGCTCTCTGRAGTAGATATTGCCATACCAACAATTTTTGGGAATCGTTGCCATTTTTCAAAATTTCTCTGCATAGACTCAAATCTTTTTCATCATTACAGTCTTCGCCATCATCCAACATCCTCTCGCTGCTACTGTTCTTATACAGTGACGAAAGAAAGAGTTCTAACCAGCTCGGTCTCTCTTTTCGATCGATTACATYGACATCACTCATGGCCGTGTCCTCTCCTGATTCTTGAGTCGCCAAAGCTGATACTTCCAAAAGCGATTGGTGCATGGGTATGAGTTGGTCCAGAGATATGCTTCTTTTGTCGTTTTTGCCATTGTCAAGTTCTCCATCATTGCCGCAGGAATGGAGATGCTCTCCCGCGAGGCGCAAAACTTGTTCTAGATTTCTATGTTTCAGGTGCATTTTTGTTCGAGATCGAARAACCAAGTTGAAGTGGCGTTGGCTTCAGAAGGAAAGTGGAGCAGGAAATTTTTCCTGACAGTTTTTCTATCGGAAYTGTAGGTTACTTCGYCCGCTCCCCTGCGGTGGACGTGCAAAACAAGATCTTTCCTTCCAACAATATGCTGGCACTGTACGGTATTTCTCTTGATGATGTCTTCGTTTGATGGCTCGAGGTAAAACGCTGTACGTACTGACTGTACCTGGTACGGTCCAGAACAAGTTAGTATGAAACCATTACTTCTTCGTACCRGGAGTGCTGGGGCAGGAGACGATATCGGTACAGCATGGCAGTAATCGGGTCTCATTTTCCTCGGTGATGCATGCTAAAATCTAAAATCCAAAATCCAAATGGATGGTGGATGTTGTGGGAGACAGAGTGGTATTGACTTATTCGATTGCATATTTATCTATTTTCAATCGTGGCATTGCACTGGACAGCTTCCGTAAGTGAATAAATAAAATCTACCGTACAGTAACAGTCCTTTCAATTATTCTTGCTTCGAATAAAGTTACTRGGGAAAAGGCAGGTTCGGCGCACGCGCACGCATACTATGACAGAGTCCATTAATTCCGTACAAAATCATGAAACGTAACCGTTAACAGTTTAATAGACGTTTCGGAACAGACAGAGCTGSAGTTTGAATGAAAGAACGAAGAACAGGAAGGATTTTTTTCTTGAGAGAAAGTCAAATATCTCTGCGAGGAATAAGAAAATATCAACTAGTACAAAACTAGCGGATACGTACAGTACTCGTACCTACCGTACCACACGTACTGGACGCGAGACGAGAAGGTCAGATTTGTTAATCCTGATTTGACGACCACCGCTGACAACAAATAACGGACACATGAAAGGAAAGAAGTTTGAATTCACTTTCAGTTTCACTGCTTTCTTGCTACGCATCCTAAGCATGCTCACTGAAAATAAGAAAGCCATAATTGTCGCATACGGTCCTGGAAGAACAAAACCACTACTACAGGAAAAAGTTACTGGTAGATTACGCAACCGCATCGATCATTCGATTTCGCTGAAGTCAAGTCTGCATTTGCTACAYGCACCCACCCATTGAACTTGATAATTCGGGCTGCATTTGAATTTCTGGAATAATTGAGCTCAACTTTACATTGAGCTTRACTAGCCTAGTCTGGTCTTACCTGGATTGAATTCGTTTGAATTAGACTAAGCTGAATCAGTCGCGTTTATTTTACAATGCCCTTTGGACTTGCTGGCTCTGGTAGCAACCGGACCAGCAGCAGGTCGATGAACTTCAAGAATATCAAACACAATGAAAGTGGTAGATTGAACATGAGTGGCATCATGCATGATGGGCAATCGAAGAAGCCTTCCAAAATTAGGCAGCAGCAGCAACGGCCCCAGTATCATTTTCAGCATGGATCTACTAGTAAGCAGACTCCTCCTCGCTCCAAAAGAAGTCCCGGTACCAGCAATTCCCAACGAAATATGCCCGGAAATAGACTTACTACACACCAGTACCAACAACTAAAACATCAGCATCAACAATACCACACACCACAGAAAATTCAGCAACACCAATATTCAATGCAAAATCTTCACGGGAGCATACAGCAAAGCCATAGCAATACCAGCCAGGGAAGTCGACAGAGTTCTCATAGTAAACAAAGTAGTACTAGCAACATGCATCGAAGAACCAATAGCAACAACAGCGGTAGTGGCCATAGCCGTTCCTCATCGAGTGGAAACAGCCGACAATATCATCAACACCAGCATCAGCACCACAATCGAGTACCGAGTGGAAATAGTGATATGGGCAGTGTCCATTCTCTTCCCACTGTCACCAGCCGGTCCACCATCAGCGATCCTAGCAGTCATGCACGAAATGGAGGATTTTACAATRCTAATAACGGCAATTACGGAAACAGTCATTCTCGACGATCGCATTCGAGCAGTCAATCCCGTGGCAATACCCCTACAGATAGAAGCCCACATCACCTCAATCACAACGGTAGTGTAGCTGAACACAGAGATCCCTACGGGGAAACCACTCATAACCGAAAAAATCAATACACGCAGTACCAAAACTCAGATCACTACCACCAATCCAATTCAGCTTTTCGCACGCCGATGCGTCRCCCATCATCGACGATAATGATCAAAACCACACCTCATAAAAGCAGTAATGCAAGCGTTGRAAGCCACCAAAGCAGGGGAGCTGCAAGCTACAACAGTAGCGTTGGTAGAACGACTGGGAGTTCGACTCCTTTGAACATTAGTACTGCAGCACCTCGTGTTTCTACTGATAAGCATGCTATCAAGTCGACCAAAAAGGTCATCGAAGGTACGTTCTACATCTTGTGTCATCTCTTGATGACTGGGCTTAATTTGTTGCTACCGAATCACGGAATATTTTATTTTCTGACCAACGCCACACACGGATACTCCTGCATGATACATATGTTCAGAATTGAGAAAATCCGCAGACCATTCGTATCCCGTCGAGAAACGAATCATTGCTCTTACAAACGCATGCGCCGAATTCGATCATCTTGATGATTCCCGACACAATCTGGAGCTCCAGAATGGCGCGGCGTTGGTATTGTGCAAGGTCTTGGCTGTGATAGTAAATGATATTGATGCCAACTTAAAAAGCTGTGGATATGACTTTGATGTCGAACATAACTATGACCAAAAGTCGRCAGGTAGTGATCAAAGCAATMACTACTATGGTGTTGGCGAGGRAAAAAATGAAAACCATGAAGAAAAGAATATCAAAGAAAATCATACAACATACGAGGAAGATCAAAGAGCAAAATCTGGCACAGCTCGAAAGGTCATCACAAACTCTAACGAAGACGACAGCCGTGATGACAACAACGACGACGCCCTTCGAATGATCGCAACGGCTTTGGAAATGGTCTTTCGTGGCCAAGCTATCTTCGTTCATTCTGCATATGACAAATGTGGAGGCACTCCTACTGAGCACGCAGAAGGACTAGTCGGGGCAACGCCACCGGGGCTTGTGCCCTTGTTACTTAGGCTTATTGACCGTGCTGAGGGATTGAATTGTGGTCGCCGAATGAAAAGGTACAATGCCGATGTGACCCTCGTCAATACTACCAAAGTCTTGCTATACTTGTCACGTGTTCCCGAGCTACGAATGCAACTAGCCAGACAAGAGGCCCTGATAGATGTCTTGAGTCGGGTGGCAAAGAACGAGATTTACACCAATAATYATTTTGAGAAYTCAGAATTTGGCTCATCTGGTTGTACCGCACTCAACAGAGAAGCCCAGATTACYAAGGTGCGTGTAATTGCAAATCTCGTGAATCAAGAAGAAAATAAACCATTATTGCTAAACCATGGACTATCAGAAGAATCTCATAGCAACGGAAACGACGGTAGCCGTTCAGCAATTGGATTGCTCGATGCCCTTCTTCGAGTTGCACACATGGACCCGAACATGAGGGCACGCGAATATGCCGGGTTGGCATTGATGGATTTAGCAAGCTCTCCATCAAATCAAATTCCCATGGCCAAGAATGGGAGACTTCTTGGAACGCTTGTGAAGATGATCTTGGTAGAAACAAATGCTGGAATGCGGGAATCAGCAATTACTGCGCTACAAAATCTGGCCTTCGCGAAGGAAAATCGAATACTACTTGTTTCCTTCAAGCATGGGATTGTTCTAGAGGCTTTGATCAAGGCATTGTCTAACAGTGGRAATGGCTACAATGAAAAATCAAGGCGCCGGGCGGCAGGGGCCCTTACTAATTTGGCTTGCGAAGAAAGCACTGAGCTCATGGGAAGGCACAAAGGTTTACTACGGAGTTTGGCCATTGTTAGTACCAAGGACGAGTCTCCAGAAGTCCAATCTCGTGCAGCCATGGCACTGACGAAGTTGGCAGCGAGCGTTACGGTGAAAATGGAGAGTCATACATTTGCTAAACCAGAATATGAGATCAACTCTCAAGAGAATCACCTTCCAGACACTTCCACTGAGAGTGAAGGTATTTACGCGACCCTCTTAGATGCATTGGTTGTCGCATCGCTCAGTCCCGTCTCAAATAGTGTTTCTGCCGTCTTGCGGGTCAAGGCACGCGATCCCGAAAACCGGTGTCTGATGGCCCAGCACCCTGGGATCTTGGATACTTTAGCTGACATGTGTTTGTATGATGACAATAGGGGTGATGAAGATGGAGTGGTWCGTAATGTTCGCAGTGGTATAAGGGGCCGAAATGCGAACAATCTGTTGCAAAAAGATGGCAAAGAGACCCATATGTATGAAATTGATATCCTAAAAGATCGGGACAATGCAACCCGGGCGCTCATGCATTTGACAAATGAATCMAAAAATCGAATAGTAATGTGCACCCCCCCGGTCTTAAACGCATTAGTTCGAGGGGCATCAGTAACAGACGAAGAAATTCAAGTCAACAATACCAATCAACTCAAACAAAAGCAACTCACCGATGTTAGGAATTCGGCCATTCGAGCAATCGAAAGACTAGCGACTGAGTTTTCAAATCGCCGCGTCATGGCCCACCACGAAGGATTGTTGGTAGCCATTGCTCTTGCTACAGAGCGCGAAGCCAAGCTCGAAGCACATGAACTGATGATTGCTGGGGGCAGCTGTGAAGACTCAATGTATGGCGCAAGTAATTTGTCCGTTTCACCGATGAAAGCGAGAACGCTTCAGGAACAACCATCTCCTCATTATGCATACCTAGCGAAGCCTTTGTTGATGAGTTTGCTAGTTGCCATGTAACCATSAGTATCGGAAGAAATCTGCAACGACGATTCGTTAGGTTCAAGCCATTTTCTCGGGCCAGCATCAGGAAAAAGGCAGACTTTGTGTAACCAAAATGCGAGAGATTTGATTTCCTTCTGAATGCATGAAAATGTGCTGGTGAAGGTATTTTTAGACTGCCTTCGACATAACCAGGGTCTTGCAATAGTGGCAGGAGTAGCATTGGAGTAGATGTCTGTGTCTATTTTGATATTATAACATAACGCAATATTTGAGTGAAATAATATTTCGCTGACTGATGAAGAATTTTTGCTAGGTGCTTGCATGTCGCTTACAATCGTTGTACCGGTATCGAGTTRTTGAATTCCACAGAAGATATATTAATAATTATTTATACATGCTTAACACATAAAAGGAGAAACAGAAGTAGAAGTAATACCAAGGCACGCTTGACAAGCTTCGAATTCCATACAACGACGCGCCACCACTTCCCCGAAGGCAATAATTGTTTTTAACATTTGTATCCGAAGACGACACACGTTTGCCGTTCTATTCAACTGAACTCCAGAAGTTAGAAAGTTTCTCTTTGACTGACTGTATTCCACATTACGACAATTGACAGACATATCACAATGTCGGGTGCCGATGCAAATACTAACTTTCCGAACTCAAACAAGACAGGATATCTGCAACACCTCAGCTTCGGCATCTTGCTTGGTTTAAAATTCCATTTATTAATGAAACTAGGTCGAATTTAGRATTCAATTGGTTGGGGATTGGGATGGGGCTGGGGTTGGGAACAGAAATGGAATAAGAACATTATTCACACTGTGGATGATTCCGTTCGAAGCAACAATGTTGCGTGGTCGCTGAATCAACGGATAGTTACCCTGGCAATCAGTGTTGACTTCGTCAATCACACATTCATAATCCAGCTCGATATTTCCCCGTCCAACTTGGTACTTTCGAAATCCTCCGCGACATTCTGTTAAAGAGTGCATTCCATTCGACATTTCGTAAAAGCTTCCACACGTCAATTCATTGTAAGTGAGAACTTGACCAGCTATGACGTGGTATCCGACAATTTCTGTCAAGAAATCTACTCGAACGTTCTCCTCAAGATTCATGAACGCAACGATATCGAAGTTTATTGAACGCATTGCGTCATTGGTGGGAGCGAACACGGTGAAAAATTGTTCAACGTCCTGGGCATTTCTAAACGCTCGTAGAAATCGGTTGTAGTCCTTGAAGTTGTCGAAGTTTGCGTACGGGTTCATCAGGTAAAATTCGYTGTAGTTGTCCTCAAAGAATTTGTTCAACTCTTCAAAGCTTTGAATATCAAGGATAATTTCAATGTCACCAGGAGGATCAACTACTACAATTTCCACGTCAGGTACTGACAATGCTCGGTTCGTATAGTCGGCAATCCGCTCTGCTCTTTCTGCGGGGATGGCAGCCCTTCCAAAAGTGTTATCTCTAAGCCAAGCAACCAGATTCAAGTTTTCGCGGCGGAGAAGTGTGTCAAAGTTATTCAACGGTGGACCAAATCCTGCAGCTACAATGGCGGCACAGAAATCTCCATAGATGTTCACGTTCTCCGGAAGACAGATAATTTCAGCTGATATTGGTAGCAATCACAAGAAAAAAGGCATGAGGTGATATCATTTGAGAAAAATAAAAAGACAATTGTGAAATAGACTCTCTCGAATACTCACCAATCGTAAGAAGATCTCCAGTTGGCTGTGAGGAGGGTTCAGAAGATTGGGTGGGATTTTCGGATGGTTCCTCSGACTGAGTAGGATTTTCTGATGGTTCCTCAGAYTGTGTAGGATTATCGGATGGTTCCGATGATTGTGTAGGATTTTCAGAAGGTTCTTCTGATTGCGTAGGATTCTCAGAGGGCTCTGCAGAGGGTGCGGTCCGCGTTGGAGACATGCTTACGGATGGCGCAGGAGATGGTTCCGGACTGGGAGCAGGAGATGGTTCCTGAGATGGTGCTCGAGTTGGGAAAGCCGATGGATGAGTTGTTGGCTCCCTCGTTGGATAAGGCGTTGGGTGATCAGTAGGATGTTCTGTTGGTTTTTTTGTTGGATGACGCGTAGGATGCGGTGTAGGGTGAAGAGTTGGATGGCGCGTAGGGTGGAGGGTTGGTCTCCTAGTTGGCATCGGTGTTGGATTTGGAGTAGGCCGGGGGGTGGGCCTATGCGTAGGAGCTGGACTTGGCATCGGTGTGGGTCGGTTTGTAGGATTTGGAGTTGGCCTCGGTGTGGGTCTCTCTGTTGGACGAGGTTCCGGAAATGCTGGTRGTGGATAGTAATAAGGATCTTGATAGTAGGGGTCGTGGTAGGTGTCCTGGTAATAACCATTGAGCTTGCGTTCCTTCTTATTTGCCTCYGATCTTAAGAACGAGGACCCATAAACGRTGTGACTCTGTGCCATTAGACAGGCCACAACGGCGGAGAACGCGCATGTCGGAGCGATCTTCATTTTCCTGACAACGAGGGGCGATTATATCTCAAGTGATTAGCGTGCAAAGCAATGGATTTCACCAATCGTTACGACTTTTTCCTATCTTTGTATTGTTATGATAAAGAGTTTGCTTTAATGCTGTGTGTGTAAACGTTGTAATAGCAAAAGGTATCGTTGCAGTCACCTTCTTCTTTCGATATTTCGATAGCATGCCCAATTTGTGAGCGATTCGTGTTGTGTCGTGCAGCCAAATAACACGCATGACGGAAACCCAGGGCCCAAATGAAAAACCGATCGGCGACTGTTCAATGGCTCTGCGACGATCCGACGTGACACAGTATTGTATGTACCAAAGATTTAGCGATGTTCGGAACGGATAGGGCTATATTTTTAATTCATAGTTTAACGTTCGATACTCGCTATTTTKAATAATACTTATGATCGTACCTAGCATCATAATAAAAAGTATGGTAAAAAAATACTGTAATGGTGTTCATAAAATAATTGTCTTTTGAGTACGAGTATGTACCGGGTACGGGTAACAATACGAGATACGAGCGAGCGCTTACTGACTACTAATATCGATGGGGCGAGACGTAGGTACCGGTATGTAATACGGTACGTACRTATGTACCGTTCTGTTATTTGTTACTGTATTTTTTCTTAATTTGATTGCTGGAACGTCAGTGACAAATTGCTGTATTAATGAGCCTTAATTTTTTAGGTCGCGTTTTTACAGCAGATATGTTACATTACAGAACGAAGTACGTACAGGTACTACGTACGGTATGGTCCTGTGCAATCGTTTGCAACCATAATACCTTACCAGTTTCAACATATGGTACTGTACTACGGTACATACTAGTACGAAGTAAAAAACTCGCCATACAGTACCTGGTACGTAGATGTCTAGGGAAACTACAGTAAAAACTTACCAGCATTACGGAAATCGGTCGAATATGGCATTTTTTTTGTGCTCGATACGTACTGGTGCAATACGGTACGTACGGTACGTAACAGATCCTATCGAATSCTTGGATTTGGCAATAAATGCGACTCGGGATTCAGCCATATGTACTTGCATTTGAGCGCGGAAAAAAATGCCGATTGAAACAAAAAGTACGGTGGTATAGTACGTACCATACGTACCGTGACGTTCAGRTACTACTGTACATAGATTATGTACCAGTAGAGGGTACAGTAGGTTGCACTTCTACTGTACCTGGAAAACTACCGTTACCTCTTCTCGTTCGTTGAATTCGTACGATACGTAACTCGTACCGTACAATACCGGTAGAATATTACGAAGATGAGCCGCCAACAACCAAGCTGCGAYTGGACTGTGCCGAGGAAACAATGGATAGGGATCAATAAAGAAAGTCATGCCTCTACTAAAAATCTTCTCGCGGAAGGCACTCACAGTAAGTGCCAACTCTCTTCACAAACGCCTCTTAACGATATGGAAAGTCCCCGAAGATGTTTTGAAGGTGCTGGTGTTACCTACGTACGATGAGTCGGGAACAGCCGGCAACGACGGGAATGATAATTCAGTGTATATTGATGTGAGAGCAAAAGCAAAACCCGAACGGACCCAACAATTTATCGATGAGGCCATGCTAAGCACGCAAGCGCTGATGAAAGAGCACGGATACAAAGCAACGATTCGTGTTGAGCTTTACGAACCATCTTTGCAATCCGCGTTGAAGGCATCATAGCAGGCCGAAACCCGCTCCCGACATCAAGCTCCTGCAAATAATTCTGTTGATACTACTGCTTKGGAAATGTATCAGCAAGATAATCCATTGCAGTTGTTTTGTGTACTATGGTAGTTAGGGAAGAAAGCAAGCTTCATCTGAAAAGTGAAAGGAATAACTTGGATGCCTTGGTGAGAAATCAACTACTAGTACTAGTAGATGGTGTCATTCATCAGCTGATTAAGTTGCAGGCAGCCCTTCATGCAAGTGCCTCTGAYAATACATCCTCTGTTTTTAGTGACATTGGTGGCAAGGAGATGAGCAAGCCAAGCCTTGATCTGACTTGACCTAAGACCTAACAAGAAGAGGAGGAGTAGTAGTATTAGACTCATCATGCTGCTTGAAAGTAAGSAAGGAGACTCTATGTCGTCCAGCTGGTTCTGGTTTCAGTTGCAGTAGCCTTGCCATGACCCCCAGTCTGCCACAAACAAAGAAGTAGACCCCCAGGGTGTGAAGTTTCTACCACTACATAGGACTAGTCATATAACCCCAATGATACAAATCCTTGTGTAATTTCTGCCCCATTCCGTCACCTGATCATGGTGAATTCATTGCATTGCTCTTGTTAGCAGCAGGGGTCATTAAATAGTAGTAGTACTGTAGGGGTGTTATTGTATGCAACCCATTCAAAAATTCTTCAGCTCATGCCAAAAACTCGTRATGAGATAGAAAACAAAATCCTTGAGTGACTTCTTGGAAATTTGTACTGCACGTGGAATACGAGTTTCGATGCCTTGCGCTCCCCTCCCAATATTTTGTTTTTATGAGCCCTGTTTGTGTGTCACGCGCGCTACATCAGTTCGACAACGGAAAACTGTACTCGTATCATTTTCGACGAATTTCCAAAGAATGTTCCCACCCCTTGTATGGAATTTTCTCGGAAATACGCTACGCGCATACGTCAAACTTATTGACCAATAGAAACGCTAAATTTCATGTGCTAGAAACTTCTGCAATCCACYAAGATTTTGCTCACTCGGGGTCCAAAAACCTACTGTACAAAATTTTGAACTAGTATGGGACGTTGGCCAAATTACACYAAACGACGACCTTAGTACAATTCTAACCGAAAAGAAGTTGTGACTATGTACGATCTCGAAACGTAACTTCGCAGTAGCTTTCATACTATAATCAACGTCGACATGCCATGAATCCAAGTCTCGTACCTACCCTTCGGAGCGTTCCTGGTACACATCGAATTCAAAACATSTATTCCGATTGAAGGCCGATCAAGGCTGTCCCTTGGTTCGTCTTGCTCGCGTTGGATGCATTTTTTGGATTTTAGCGCSTTGTATGAAATGYTCGCCGACGAGCATCATTACCTAAGTAAGTTATTTTGAAACAGGACGTGACGATTTGCTTCAGTTTTATACGCCGACCCAATTTTCAAACACATCGCACATACAATACCTTCGATGAATCGTCCATCATGAATGAAAATAATATTCTTGTYAATAATCAATTTCTTTGACAATGCCTCTGTAATCTATTCCATCCTTAGCAGATCCATCGGTGTGGAAGTAAATGCTCCACGTTCAATTGAAATCSCACCGGAACTGATCCCATCAAAGACATATATGAGCAAACGTCGTCTATAGAAAAAGAAAAGATACGATGGCCACACGAGACTCAAGAGCTGAAGTCGAGCCTCCCTCTTATTTTTACCACCACAGAATTGGCGACTCCGATACCGATACAAATATGCGTAGCAACTCAGAGTGGAAAATCGAGTGTGATGCCATCTTGAACAATGGCCGTGACGATAGTATCTCCCAGAATGATTGTGATGAGCAATCTCAATCCTCCGTATTCTCTCCATCGATCAAACAGACTTGTCACGATATTGATGGGGTGTTGAACGAAATACGACTACGTTCCTCTCCAGATCCGAATGATTGTATGTTTCGGAATGGCAACTATTATAATGGCTACGACGACGCGATGAGCGACGTTAGTGCTTTCACTACCAACAACTTAGTGAGAGAACTTAACAAAGCCCACGAATCATTCTTGGATTCGGCAGGAGCTATTCAGGATCGCTTTGACTTTCGAAGCAGTGACACCTATGAAAATGACCTGTCACTGGCATGGGCTGGTGGTACCGAGAACGAATGGAATGATTTTATTTGGCCAGAAGGCGACAAAATTAGCAMGGAAAATCACAGTGGGGAATATTGTGACTACCTTTGGGAGGCTGAATGGATTTTAGAGCCATCATATCATCGAAACAGGGGTAATGCTTTCCGTGGGTTCAAGATTTTATCATCGTGGTACAAAAGAGTGAAGCAAAGAAATCGCCATTACACAAATCTAGAACAAACGCCATCCTCTTCGAGTCGATTGGGAACACGTAGGATTTCGACCTTATGCGCTTTGTTGGGRGTTGTTCTTGTCATAGTAGGAATTACTGTGACAACGACCACTTGGTCAAGCAAACAAGAACAACGTCAGCCAACGTCTATTGTGGATTCGCACAACCCAACAAGTCTTCTTCCGGGGGGGGGAATAGCTTCTCTATCACCTATGCCAATAGATGAATCGTCGAAGGCGCTCAACGTTGCGGAAGAACCAGAACATAGAGATTCGAGTAGCTCACCAACGCAAAGTCTTACTCCCGCTCCAACCATTCCTCTATATCTTGACGATTCTGTCACTTCACACGCCGACACGCTGCCTCCAGTAGCTGCATTGCCTGTTTCCGGTTCCAGGGTTGACGCTGTTAAGATAGATGTCGACGAGAATTTTGGCGATACTACTACAAACCGAGGACCACCCTCACTACCAAACAAGTCACTTTCAGTTGTAAAATTACCGGTATCTGGTGCAACGCATGCCGCTACCAAAGAAAGTGGATCATCTCTGCCTTCGTCAACATCTTCTACGCTACCCATCTCTGGCGCAACTCCCAGTAACGGGGTGAATCTAGAAGCTGCTAGAACAACATCCTCTGGAAATCGATCACCACCAGTACTACCGACTTCACAGGCAAAATTACCCATCTCGGGTTCCAAGGCTACCGTAAACATAGACAGCAATGAGGAATCAACAGAGAAACATCCGTATTTGGCTACCAACGAAAAGGACATCATCGCAACGTCCCAACAAAACCCACCAAAGGAATCAAAGAAGGACAAAAAGAAAGCCGACAATTCTATACMAGTAAGAAGGGCGCTTCGTAACTCCTCCAACAACAGAACTTTTGGGAAACGACCAAAATAACAACACTGAAATACCAATCGCAACAAACCATAGAACTAGACATGACTTCATCGAGAATTTTCTAGTACCACTAAAAGAATTAATGTTAACAAGAATACTAGACATAGTAATACCGATCCATTTTTGATAACTCCTTGAACTCTGAAGTTTTCTTGTTTGCTGCTGCTGGTGACAAAGATTTTTTCTACTAGTACTA